TTAGTTTAATTTTTTAGCTATGACCGCTCATGGCGCTTATGGGACTTGGAGGCTCAAGAGGAGATCCTACATCAGGAAGGCCACAGCATGGGTGTGTATGACATTGCCTTCCATCAAGATGGCTCTTTGGCTGGCACCGGGTAAGGCTTCTTCCACATAGCCAGGGGCAGCTCACTAGTCTCACCTCATGTGTGCCTGCTTCCAAAGAGAACCGGATTCAGAATGTTCATTTGTAAATTGTTTTATCAGGGGTCTGGATGCATTTGGTCGAGTTTGGGACTTGCGCACAGGACGTTGTATCATGTTCCTAGAAGGGCACCTGAAGGAAATCTATGGAATTAATTTCTCCCCCAATGGGTAAACAAAGCTCACTGAATGAGGGGTGGAGAGGGTTCTTGGTCAGGAAGTACTCTTTGTTTCTAACTTCACTACTACACCTGATCCACAGCTACCACATTGCAACTGGCAGTGGTGACAACACTTGCAAAGTGTGGGACCTTCGACAGCGGCGTTGTGTCTATACCATCCCTGCCCATCAGAACTTAGTGACTGGTGTCAAGTTTGAGCGTAAGCTTTCCTTCTGCTTTAGGCCTAATTATGAGACAGATTATACTTCCATGGAATGCAGGCCAGGCTTTAGCTTAACTTGGAAGTGGAACGGGAGAGAATTGGGACTCTGTTGAAGGAGCACATTTTAGTTTCCCTCCCTCTACTATACTTTCAGACAACTATGGCATGGTGTGCTTTTTGTTTCAAGAAAGTAAAGAAGACTTCTTGAGTGCTTCACCTTTTTCTCCATGGAAATTCTAAGCACTGAATCCTTAATGTTCTGAACAGACTGTCTGTTGGGGAAAGGTTCAAAAGACCCTCATAATGTTATTTGTTTCCCTAAGTCTGCCTGTAGTTGTCCCTTTTTTCTGGAGGCCTAGTAGGAAAATAGATCAGAGTGTTGAGTTTTTCTGAATGTGGAAATACCTTCTTTTTCAAAGTAGTATTGTCTAGCAGATTTTTGTGCTTTTATTTTCTTGTGCTCTTAAATACTTGAATTCCCCAAGCAACTTTCCTTCTTTTCTCTTGTAGCTATCCATGGGAATTTCTTGCTCACTGGTGCCTATGATAACACAGCCAAGATCTGGACCCACCCAGGCTGGTCCCCACTGAAGACTCTGGCTGGCCATGAAGGCAAAGTTATGGGCCTAGACATTTCTTCCGATGGGCAGCTTATAGCCACTTGCTCATATGACAGGACCTTCAAGCTATGGATGGCTGAATAGGCAGGACCGTGGAAAAAGGACTCCAATCTCAGGCTCTCTCTTAAGAGCCATTTTCAAAAGAAAGGATTGACAAGTTGTGTTATATCATGTGTTTTGCCAGTAACCTTGTGTGAACTCTCAGTGGATTGGATTTCCTGTCAGTCTCCACTCTAGGCAGGTGGCCCAGTCCCTGGGTGCTGGAGATCCCTCTCATGGTTGCCATTTTAATTTCATCTTCACACCCTGCCAAGAACTGTGTAGACATTTTTATTAATCTTTCTTTTAAATGCCCTGTTGCCTTCCTCACAGCACTCAGGATTGTGACTGACTCCATTTTTAATTCTTGAAACTTGCCTTTTCATTACATGGTACGTGCTTCAGGACAACATGTGACCTGGAGAGCAAGGCAACTGGACTGTACTCTGGAAGCCCTCAAGTAAAGGGGCACTCAAGTCTCCCCACGCACTGGGTATACAACGCCTGACAGAGAGACTTTACCTTGAGAATGGGAGGTGAAGAGGTAGACCCACAGCTATGCTCAGGGCTATGCAGTAGAGAAAATTTTTAACCTCTTTCTGTTGGGTTCATTTGGAATGCTTCCTGCATCACGAAGCTCAGACCGTACATTTGCCATGTCAGTAAATGTGTTCCATTTAGCTTTGTAATTATGTCAGTAAATGTCTTCCATTTAGCTTTGTAATTGGCGTCTCTTTTGTGTTAGCCCAAAGCTAGGTCATTGTGTCGAGTCAATGAAATTTTTAGAAAGCAAATATGATGTCTTTATTGTGCAACCTCTTTTCTGTTAGTTATTTAAAGGATATACCCTTCATGTCAAGGTAAGTCTGGGAAAAAATCTCTAAAGGGTATTCCTAAACATAAACTTTTTTTTTTTATTATTACTCGCTACAGAGTAAAATCCTATTATAAAAACTCCCTCAAAGAATTATTTTGCATAGTTAATCCCAGCCTTTGATCCATGGAGGTCCTGCCTTTTGGGGGGGTTTGAGACATAATCTCAAATATGGCTTGCTACAATTTCTGTCTTCTTAATAAGCATTTTGTTAATTTTTTAAGAAATAGAGGGCTATTGCATTATGGGCCAGACTACCAGTGAACTGTATCTGGACTCTATAATATTTTTACTCATTGGCAATCAGTAGTTACCTTCACCTCTTTCCACCCCAAATATACAACCACTGAACTCTGAAAGTACACAGTAATTTCATACAAAAATAAGGAATTTGGAAGAAAGGATTGTGTGTAGGAAATTCAAGAGGGGCATATGATGTCTTCTCCTTTTAAACATTTAAAAACACTTTGACTTGCTATTTCAGAGAGGCTGAGAGTGGCTTGTCTAACTCTATTGTTCAATTGTGTGATTGAAATAGTGAAATACTCTGTTTAATCTGATTTCAGTTATAACCAAATTGTATATCCTAGTACCTGTTAAGCTTATGAATTCTTGGCCTTACCCTCTGTTGGGCACGTCACTATTATTTACATATTAATGGGCTCTATTTCTTCTATAGTTGGCCATGAAAAGAAGTTATTTTCATTACTCAATTACTAAAAGGGGCACAACAGTGTCTGACGGTGGCCAAAGACCTGCCACCGTCTTTTGTAGTATGTGTAAACTAATAATGAATATTAGTGTATTAGCATGCAGTTCGGATATAATGTATAAATGTATTAAGGTTTTTAGTTTTTGAAGTTTAAATTTTATTAGTTAATCTTGTCTTTTGGGGGCAGAGGGAGGGGCTTCCAAGAGATTTAGAGGTAGCAACTAGGTGAAAACATTTTCTTTAAGCTTTGGCAAAACAAATGCAGAACATTCATTTCTTTACTGGAAATGTCATTGTAAGAAAGCAGTTGAACATAAATCGAGTGTGGCATTTTATGATAATGTACAGCCTCCACTTAACAGGACACTTACTCTCTGTCTAGACACTGTGCCAGAGACCTTCCGATATCTCATTTAGTCCTTAAAATCTGAGGAGTTAATTATTCCTTTTTACAGACAAAACTGAAGCTCAAGTTAAATAACTTGCTCAAGGTTGCCCAGTTAGTAAGCAGTGGATCCCGGTCTGTCTGTGTATGACCTCATAAAGAGATTTCATAGGGTTTTATTGAGTATGTTGGCAACACTGGCCAGATAAAAAGACCAGTCCAGCCAGCATGGCCTGATTCCTGTACAATGCCTGAGCTTTTTAACCACTCTTCTGTTTATACTGCCTTTTTGATAAGTCCCTGCATCTCTTACTCTGACTTCAACCCTAAGATAAGTCCCTGCATCTTTTACTCTGACTTCATCCCTAAAGGAGTTAATTTCACCACTTCAACCTCATGAACTTATGAGGAACCTATAGTGTTCAACGGGAAACAATTTGCATTTTGGGATAGATGATGTTTTGTGGAACTGTTTTTAGCATTGCAGCATGGCTGACCTCTCGAGTACTACAAGCCAGAAATAACCCACCCCCTTCATTGGAGTACCAAAGAAGCTCCCACATATTTCCAGGTGCCCCCTAGGAGGATGGCACTGCTCCAAGGTTAGAACTCCTGAATGTAAGAATAGAAGATACTAAAATGTTGCCCTGTTCAAAAAAAAAATTCAAACTTGTTTTATTTGGCTGGAATTATCAGCCACTTCAAGAGTATAATTTCTATTTCTACTAAAGAGTCCACCACCTACTAGCTTGAACAAGGTAGCTGCTAAATTTGTGGAGGCTCAGATTCAGTTATGAATAGGGATGAGTTTACTCAGAGCAGTAGGCCCTAGTGTACAGGGAAGTGTTTCTCCCTGTTCCTCATGGCTCTGAAAACATGGTGAGCTCATTGCCTAACTTACCACAAGGTTAAGGAGCAAGGATGTGTAAAGAAATGAAGTCAGTGGGGAGAACTTGAGTCCCAGCTTTAGAGTAATTATCTTCGATGGCGCAAATGGAAAGGTCGGCGAGTCTCCTGATGGGATAACGTCGGCAACTTTCCAATTTTGTAATGGAGAACTTTTTCTTCACATCTTACGACCGTTTGGTTTTACTAAATGTAAAATACATGTCTTGGCTATTTTGGAATATCTTGTACATTAAGATCCCTAAGAATTTATAGAAGCTAGTTCCACTAAGAATGTTATTTAGAGCAAATTAAACCAATTTTCGGTCTCTCAAAGCTTATTCTACAAATAATAAAAAAAAAAACCCAAACTGTCATCTCTTCATAATTGCAATGGTGTTTTAACCACTTTGAGATTGTCCTAGAGCCCTGGGCCACTAAGGAATATTAAAACTGCAGAAGCAGAAATCAGGGTTTTAGCCTCTGCAGAGGTGGCAACTTGTAGTCAAGCAGCAGCCCAAGCATCCAAATTCTACTGAATTATCTTTATCCCTAGGTTTTGTCATGAAACAACCAGGGACCACTGCCTGCGTGGCCTGGGGTGGGACCTGCGGCTTTTATTCTATCCAGGGTCTCGAGGCCAAAATTTCTGTGTTTGGTAGAGGGGAGTCATCTCAACTTTGCATGACTTATCAAGGCCTCTGCACCTACCAGGAGAAATGACTTTTTCCTTTCAAGTCCCGGATTTCCTTTGATCCACTGACCCTCTCTCACCTTTGAACTTTCAGACTCAACACTCCATAAAACATACAGACAAAAGAGGTTGTCCTGTACCAGAAAGAGCACACCCTCCCCACTGCCACACCTGGATAATCCTACCTTTCCCCTAGTTCTGACACAGCACCAGCCAAATGGTGATTGAATGAGTGGATGAATGCAGACCATTTTTACTGGGACTGGTAAAGACATCCAGAGAAAACTGCTAGGGAGAGACATGTTTGTCCACAGAATTGAAGCTTGCTTTCCAAATTTTTTAGCAACATAATAATAAAAAATGAGCCAAGTTCAAAGCAGCTCCAGTGAGAAATTCAGCTTGCTGTTTGGGCCAGTCAGGTTCCTGGAGACACCCAGTCCTTTGGCACAACTTGCTGTGTAACGCTCTAATCAGATCATCTCCACCCTTCCATGGCCCCGTGGTTCACACCCAGAGGTCTCTTCACATCTTTTAGCTTTTAGCTTTCAGAGGACTCCCAGAAGCAAACACATGGCCTAACTAATCCGTGGATTGTAAGAATGAACAATACTACAAAGGAAGACAACCCCACATGAGGTTCTGCAGTCCTCATACCCAGCAGCAACCAAGAAGGGCTTGGTTCCTCATCCTGAACAGATGTTCACCCCATACCCCCAAGGAACTCCTTGGTCCAAAAGATGGAGAAGATAAGCAACAGAGTGACACTGAGGATGACAGCCATCAGATAAGCAAAGATCCGGAACTGAGGGTTTCGGAAACACTCCCTCAGAGAGTAGTGGCTGGGGATGGGAATGGGCGTGGTGGTAGGGGCCCTGGCCTGGGGGGCCTCAGTCTGGCTCCCAGGCTCGGGGCCTAGGTCTAGCGTGTAGACCCGGGGCTGGCGCAGGAAGTAGCGGCTCTTGGGCTGGTCTTTGAGACAGAGCTGATGGCCTTCCAGGATGACGTGGTGGGGCTCCAGGCGGAGCAGGGTGAGCATGGCAGTATCTGTGGGCAAGTCAGTGACAGGCTGCCCGGAGGCCAGCACAGTGGGCTGGCGACAGAGTGGGCACAGCAACCGGCGCCGGGCGGGAGTCACTAGGCTGAGGTGAGCCAGGCACTCCACGCAGAAGGAGTGGCAGCAATCCAGCACTTTGGGGGTGTGGAACATGTTGTTGAAGGGGTTCCAGCAGACAGGGCACTCGGGCTCCCGGCTCTGCTGCACGGCCATCCTCACACCAGATGCTAGGAGGCCTGGCAAGAGATGTCCTGGCAGAGAGGGAAAAGAAGTAAAGGAACACCCATTAAATGCTGTCCCCGTGTTTGGTCCTAGGCTGTGTTCTGTGAGTTGTTAAAAGGTATTATCACCCACCTTTCACAGATGAAAAATCTTAATTCAAAAAGTCGAAACAATTTGTTCCAGATTACCCAATTGCTAAACCATAGGATTAAGTCGTACTCCAGCAGTATCCCCTCTATCAGTGAAGGCCTGAGTCACCCCACTATTAATGAGCCGCCACTAGAGGAGACTGCATTCTGGCTTTGGAAATGGATATAAATAAAAATACTATGTGACTGCCCTTGGCTTCTCAAACTCCAGGGAGAGGGAGGGGAGCCACTGTCAGTGGTTTGTGCTAGAGATCGACTATTTCCTCCCCTGCTGCTGCATATCTCCAGCTAGTGCAGAGATGGGCTTTGTGAATTCCCTGGTCTGTCTCTCTGGGAACA